AAGAAAGGCACCGAGGCGGGGCGCTGAGAACCAGCGCGGACCACCCCGAGAACCAATCGTGCAACCTTGAGGGCTCGGGACCCGGTGGAAGTCTCCACTCGAGCCCTACCCCCACGGCGGGTGATACGTTGTCTATAGCAACTTTACAAAGATGTCAGGTTTGCCACACAACGTTGTCTTTAAAAAGACGCATCCGTAATTGCTCTTTTAGGGAAAAAGCTCTTTTAGCGTGCTGAGGCGCACAGGGAAGATGGCCGCCTGCAACACAAACAGGGGATAATGCAGCCTGATGTGTGCAACCCACTCAACACGGGAAACCACCACCGCTGAAGCGCCGTACCGCCAACACGAAGAGCTCTCAAAGAGCGTGCTGAACTCGTTCCGTCCTCTTTTCTCAGTAGAGTAGTCAGCAGCAGAACGATGTGATCGCTCGGCTCCGAAGTGAAAAGCTGAATATGCGCTGCATCTGCTGCCTACTTATACTCACGCTGTGATCAGCGGCAGCTGGATGCAATAATCGCATGCCAATGTGCATTGGCTCGTTTAGTTTACACTCGAAGTAGATTGGTCTCTCTAAGCGAGATCCCAATTCGTCGGTCATCCGACGTGACGTCTGAAAGGGACTGAAAGGGAACTACCCCCCCTCTTTTCCTCACCGTCACAACCCTAAATTATACCCATCTATCTCAGAATGCGCTGTCAATGTGTTGTTGCTGTTTTTTTAAGTTATAAGGTCAGGTTTGAACAAATCAAATGAGAAACTAAAGAAAAAAATGAATTTGAGTTATTATTATTTAAAAAGTTAAGTATCAATCTTTAAATGTGTTTTGTTCCAATGATTCCCAAATGGTTCAAATCAGTCTGTTGACATGTGTCATCCGGTTGTAAAAGACAGACGGTTCATTTGAATGGGTTGTTTCACCTCATATATGTCTGTTGTGATGCATTCATAATAAATTCCTGCTGCTGTTTATGCTTCATTTGTTGTTTGCTCATCTGGATTTAATTTCATATATGTATGTACACATGTACGTTTAGTTTAATTGGGTTGGGGTGCCATGGGGAAAAAAAAACTACAAAGGGGTGCCATGCTTTCAAAAAGTTTGGGAACCACTGGATTAGGGGTTTGAATGAGATTTACATTCAATAGTTTGACCTTTTATGGACTTCTATTAATAACTGAAATTTTCTAGGTTTCATATCCTGTTAAATCTGTTCAAATGGGATTACCTGTAAACCACATTCCCACAATATAAGACATAAATTGCCTTTATGATCACTAACGTTTGTACTTTCTCACTTGTATTCATGCTAACACTTTTTTCTTTAAGTGTCTGTTAAAGCTATATAAGCCAAACAGAGATGATGACCTTGGATGATGCTGAGGAGTTTGTCTTGGTCCTTATTTTGTTCTCTCCAGAGACGAAGCAGATGTAGTGCTTGCTGCTGAGGACTGCAGCTTTTCTTCAGCCTCTCAACACTCTTCCAGTCCACCTTGCGTCCTGGAAGGCTCTCAGAAAGATGCTCCACAGGGAAAGAAGCCAAAGGAGGTGATGCAAGGAATTGAAATATTGCTTCCTCACATAATGTAATGTCTAGAAGACATTGAAAGAGAGGTGTGGGGATGGTTATAGACATGGGAGCATGAAAAGCACACAAAACAAATCACAAGGTTTGGCAGAAATAAAACAAAACAATGAAAGACAATTAAACATATTAGTATATCAGCTACTTTGTACTATTTTAGCCCTTAGGTTTTTGTGTCCTAATACAGGAAGTAACATGTTCCCACATGCTGAAAGAAGCTTTGACCTTCCACATCTTTAAACTGTACTCCACCCTATCTGTGGTATATAGGAATGAACTAATCAAGTTTTTCTGTCCCTGGTTTAATTTGAGCCATGTATATTGAGTATCTGGGATCTGCAATCCCGAATCAGTACTTGTATTCTCCTAGTGCATGATTGACACTTTAAAGGGATAGTTCACGCAAAAATGAAAAAAATGTAGCAAGGAGATCGGTAAAATAATCCATGTGACATCAGTGGTTCAACCGCAATTATACGAAGCTACGAGAATACTTTTTGTGCGCAAAAGAAAAAACAAAATAACGACTTTATTCAACAATTCGTCTCCTCCGCATCACCCTGTAAACAGCGTATGCTGTTCTGTGTCAGCTGCGTCACACGGATACGCTGTTTCCGTTCAGATCAAATCACAACAACGTAG